TCCCCCCCCCCCCCCCAACCTTGGGGGGGGGGGGAAGCCAGTGAATTAAGGTGAGTGAATTGTGCAATGACTTCCTAGGTTTATGCAGCATGCTTTCTGAAGCAGAGGTGTTTGTATGATCACAATGACAGCATGCTTTAAATCATTTGACTTTATTTTACTATTAGTAGTCATATCTCCCTTTAAGAAAAACAATAAGTTTATCTTTAGGTCCCGTATGTTAACTTGGTGACTACACCATCAATTCAAATGTTAATTGTTTGTTTTTCATTCATCATTAATAACAAAGTGTCTCCTAACAGCAATGGCAAAACCCCTTTATTTGAGACCCTTCCAATGTAGTTTCCAGTTGCCACTCACTTTCCAAAATACTTAGCATGTATTTGGGACAGTTGTGGGAATGACATAATGTCCTTTGGGGAAAGCTCTTCATTGAGGGATGGGATATATTCATAAACAGTCATGCAGGTATGAAAGAAAATTCTGAACAAAAAGTTCAGGCATGGATTTGAACTTTCTCAAGATTCCATGGTTTGGGAGCCTCTGCTTTGGTTCAGAATCCATCTTTCATTAGGGCTGCAGAACAACATTGAACTTAAATATAGCACTTTTAACTGCTAATGCCAAAATAAATGTCTTTTGTTTATGCACACATGAATTTGTGGATCCAGATGTTTTGTTTCTTTGGCTTTCACTAGTACCTTTTTCCAATAGACTTTGGTTTATGTAGTATATTTTACTACAACTTCTGTTATTCCTGCCTACATGTACCTTGGGTCCTGGGCTTGTCTTTCTGTTCTCCAACAGGTGAAACTCCTTATTGAAGTCAACAGAGGTTTCTGCCTTTAGGGGCTGAAGGAATGGGCCTATTCTGGAGACATCATATTTACAGTTACGGGTTATTTTATCAGAAAAATTAGTATTTGTTTTGTGGTCGCAGTGCAGGTTCTTGCTTTTTCTTGTCTTGTAGCAAATATTGCTGTGAAGCAGCCATGTTGTGGCCAGGCATGCGGTCTTTTCTGAAGTATCACAGGTGAACTCCTCACATGAGGTGCTGACCATCCACAACTCTAGTAGAAGTTATTGTGAGTTGCAGGTGTTCATCTCCTTTTGGGACCAGTTCATCTGGGACCTGACCAGTACATACATGTTCTAAAGTCAGGAAAACATGCACCTTTCATGAAGTACAAAGTGATGGGCCTAATCTTTCCACATCTCAGCTCTCCTAAACCCACATCTGCTGCATAACAGAACAAGATCATCGTGGTTTGACACCAAGAGAATACTTTTTTCTTTTATTTTTAATTTTACAGAGACCCCTTTCCTCTTTCTGACAGAATTGCAGGATCGGTTGTCCAGCAATCTTCCCTGCACTCTTGAACTTTCTTGGCTAGGTGGCAAGGTTCTGAAGTCTTCCTCTGACTTGTGATTCTTCCATTAAATCAACCCAGAGACAGGCTGCTGTGCAGTTGCTGGCAACTACTAATTTTTCAATTGCTTTCATACAAGTATTCAGTTCAATAAACTAAGGAAATCACCAGCAAAGCTTTGAGATAAGTGCTGAACTTTGGAATCTGTGAACTGATGGCTGCTTATTGAAAATCTCTGGGCAATACCACATACCATGAAAATCTGTACAGTAACTAAAAATAGAATGTTAATTGAATATGATAAAAATATTTACTTAAAGATAAAATCTATGGTGTAACTCATTTAGGTGGAAACTGTTCCCATATGGTATTTGTTACCACTGTGAGTGGCAAGTGTTGAGAGTCCTCCAGGCTTTTTTTGCCCTTCACTCATGTCCCCCTCCCAACCATGTCATCTCCCACCCCCCAGTAAAATCTTTTATAAGCCATTATTTTTCTTTTTTTAATTTTGCTCAGGCATCCAGGAACATAAGGTATCGGCAGAAGAGCTATTGCCCTTGTAATGGTCATTTGTACATAAAGGTATAATTATTTATTTTTTCCATTTGTACCATATCAAGGCTTTGTACAATGTTTTAAGTTCTGTTTTGAAATTATTTTGTATTTTATTTTTATAAACTGGTTCTAAATAAAATATTCATTCAGCATGCAAAACTTCAATCCTTGATTACTTTTCCTGTTTTATAAAGGTCTGGTTGAATTATTTTTTTTCTTGACCATATTTCTTACTATAATTTGTACTTATAAATGAAGAGCTGTACCAGTTGTGGTATACTCCCCCCTCTTACACAAAAAGATGAAAATGAGACATTGCTGGTACTACAAGCAAAAGTGAGAGATCTGTATTACAAACTAGAGTGGTTGGATCAAATGGTTCATACTGATTCAGCAGTCTGATACTTTTAAGTTACAGTAGTAAGAGACACTTTGCTGTAGTCCCTGCCCTGTTCCCTCTGTCCAACAGCAGCTGAGCCTTTAGACTCTTGAGCAATTTGCAGTACTGGGATGTGCAGTATTACCAAGCCACTGATTAGAACAATCTTAGTTTTATTACTCCCCCTTCTACAGACTTGTTTGGCAAGGTGGGTACAGGTTGGCCACCATCAGCATTAGTGGTTATGTTTGCCAGTAACATGCATGCATTTCTAATTGTTTGAAAGTACTGTCTGCTCTGTTAATTGAAAATCTTACACATTGCAATGTAAATCCATAAGAGGAGAGAGAAATTCCATCAGTTTTGTTGCAGCTTTATTACTATCTAGGTATGCAGTGCTAATATCAGGCTAGTTGAGGCAAATCAGGTGTCTAATCCTGCTTCCATTAATGACAGCGCTGCCAGTGAATTCAATTTCCTGTAGCTGGGACAGGTTTTCACCCATTTTTAATGTAAACATATTAAGTAATTTCCCACAACAGGAAACATAAATCAAGAATTAATTTGTCAATAACACACCCATAACACTATATTTGGTCTTGGTTTAAAAGTAGGAAGGAATTTAACCACGTGCTTCAGGAGGAAGTATACATCTATTGCAGGCCAAGATAAATCAGTAGATCAGATGGGTGTGGAAGGGCGCAGTGGCTTTGATGCATGACACTGGAGATCAAAATACTAGAACTGGATAGCTCAGTGAGCTATTTTAGCCCCGTCACTGCTTAACTTCACTATAGCCCCTTCACTGCTTAACTTGAGTTAATTTGAACTTGATCACAAGGAAAAGATTTTAGTTCCAACCCTGGCCCTTGATAAATATTACCTAAATGGCATACTTGCTAGCCTATGCTTAAGAGATCCAGCACTGGAATAAGGAAGCTGCAATAGGTAAAGGTTCAGGTGACCAGTTGCTAACCTGTTTTGTTCATAATCTTCAATACCAAGGGGGCCCTTGTCCACCTAGTCTGTTCATTGGGCTTCAGGGGTTGCAGCACTTGATCCAGGAGCATTAACTACTTCTCAATTAAAAATCCAGTTGTCCACAGCATAGATTTGCACTTCAATATGAGAGCAGCATGATGTACATTTAGGATTGGCTCTCCCCAGAAACAGTGCAAAGAGAGCAATGCAAGTTCAGAAATTTAAACCATTGGAGAAATGGCCTCACAAGAATGGTGAACAGGCAAGAATTGACTACTGTAGCCTGGACCAGCTAAAGCCACTGTCCAGAACAGACTTCACTACTCTAACTGGACTGTCACATCAGCATTAATTACAGCTTTGGCTAAGAGACCATAACACAAGTGTAGGCTGCCTTTTTCAGTTAAAAGGAAAATGGACAAAAATGAGAGAATAACCAGTAAGTGCCTAGTCAGGTAGATAGGAATCTTATGTTACTCCTAAGCAATAGGAAACTTCTTATGCAACAACCAGTTTGGGATTTTACCAGTTTAAAGATAAAAATGATTGGTAAGATTGCTGCATGTACTGCCTGTTTGTATGAGCTAAACTTCCTAAAAGCCAAAGCTTTCCATTGTGAAAGGAATATACCATACACTAATTCCAATGAAAAATGCACTGTCCATATGACATTGTAAGCTTTTGAGAAATTTGCATGTAATATACTGACTATGCTGGCAGGAAAGAACACTCATTAGCAATATTTTCACTTTGGCTCAGCCAGTAACTAAACAGCAACTGGCAGGTCTTTTAAAAAAAACTATATTAACAGATAGTGAAGTTAACCTTCAAGGGGATTAAAAACATCAAAAGAAAATCCAATGAGCCAGGGAAAGTAACACAATAATCTCCAAAGGTGATGTCATGGTAGTCCTACCTTTAAACATTGCTGGTGTTTCACATGTCACCTAGTAGAGAGATGCTTGCTTTGTGCTGGTATGGCACAAGTTAACCCTTCTTTCAACCACTGATTTATTCTTCTCTAGAAGAAAGGGGAGTAACAGAGCAGTGACTGCTGGGGTAAAGAGTGTTACTGAATAGCAAATTGCTCTCCCCTTGCCCTCTTTTTGTAAAATAGTAGGTGGAAGAAATGGTAGCCAGAGAATTTGGATGTGATATATTCCTGCTACTTATATTTCTCCAGCTGTTTTGTTCATGGCTTGGGTGACTTGGTTTTTCTTCACTAATACCTGAGATTCAGCCCTGCTTGAATCAAAGTGTTCATGAGTATGGTCAGACCCTGTCATGATGCTTGCACAGGCTAGGTGAGATCTGCCCCACATGCTCACCTTGAAGTAATTCTTCTCATAGGCTTTAATTTGTGGATGCCGCTTGGAACTCTTTTAAAGAAGAGTCCTTGCATTACTCCTCCTTATTGTTGGCACCTTTAGCAGCATTTAACTTAAAGGACTTTGTTGGCCCGCAGTTACAACAGGCCATTTCCCTAAACAGCAGAAAATTCAGAACTGACTGCCAAAATACTACCTTCTTACTCCACAGATCCTTGTGCTATATCAGGCAGGACAAGCAGAGTTGGATTCAAGTCCCTCTGTGTATCATCTGTGTTTGCTAATTTCCAGTTACAGGATCCATTCCTTTTTGCTCATGCAAAGTAACACTGTAGGCACAATTAGACCTGCAGAACTTGCTTGTATTGGTGATACCTGAGAAGAAAAAGAGCCTAACTGGTATTTCAAATCATAGCATACAACCACAGGATGAAAGAGATTAGTTATTTTTGTTTTCCATTGGGACATTAGAAAAATAAACAATGTGCCTTTGCTCTTTTTACAGTCACTTTTTTAAGCAGGCCCATACTAACTAGAGTATTCCCTGTTACGTGGCCGTGGTTTTTCTTATTTTAATACTCAACCAAATGAAGTCATCTATTAGTTTTGCTTTTTCATCAGGATAAATAACTCACAGTTCTCCCCTGCTTTTATTTGACTTCAAGGGTCCTCCAACCTCTTGCACAGGTACAGGATATGGTATTACTAAACCATTTCAGACAGATATGAGTTAGCATTTAGGAGTTCCTTTCCCTTTAGACTCCCCCTGGGGATATAGTTAAGAGAATGGAAGATCTTTAGATAAATCTTTAGGAAGGAAGGCTTCTTCAAAGTGCCAGGAAAGAGGATTGGGTCTGCTAAACCCTAACATCCTTTGTTTGCAGCACATCTACACTTAGTTCTGGATAGTGCAAAACATCAGTTAGGGCTGCCTCTTTGTCATCTCAAATGTTATGGCACTTGGTCCCAGCTTGGATTTACTGAAGACAGAGATTGATGATAACCTGTACTTGCAAGTATTGCTTCATAGTGTGAAAAAGTTTCATGCATTATTTTTGATACACTTTTCCCCAAGATATCTGACAAATAACTGCCTTCACTTTTATTTCATTAAAGCAAAATGCTTCTGCAGGGAAAGTGTATTTGAAGAGCTGTATTGAACAGTGACCAGATGGAGCAATGCTAGATGAGGGATCGGTGGTCTAATTCTATGCCATCCCCAGAGCAGGTAAAGCTGCCAAACCCTTTGTGATGCTTTGCACAGCCTGGATTTAAGAAATTAGAAATACATCCAGTAGTTTGAAACAGCAGATACTAAATTTAAAGTCAATTATTTTTGCAGTTGGATTTAAAAAACAAGCAAACAACTACACACAGCAACAGATTACACTCCTTCTATTCAGTAACTGCTCTTACCTTTCACCCTACTTCATCATGCCTTTTATTTTCAAAAGGTCACACTGAATGACCTTTTGAACCAAAGAGGATACAGACAAGAGTCTTGGTCAAAAAAATTTGATTTTTTTTTAAAGCAGAAGATGCTGAAGAGAACAGAAGACAGACAGTAACCAACTGCAACACTTAAGAGTTAAGAAATGGGAGACTTGTAGTTAGTGTTTAATGCCACCTACTGTGAAACTTTTCCCACTGGGAAAAAAAAAAAAAAAAAAAGGGGGGGGGGAAAGTCCAGTTTGCCCCATCATAGGCTGGGGAAAAAAAAAAAAAAAAAAAGGGGGGGGGGAAAGTCCAGTTTGCCCCATCATAGGCTGGGGAAAAAAAAAAAAAAAAAAAAAGAGTGGGAGGTAAGTCCAGTTTGCTCCATCATAGGCTGGAGCAGAACATAAAACAGCACCTCTAACACCACAGTCACTATTACATGTATTCAAGTTTTACACATCTGCAAAACAGAAATAGTAGCAGCCATTGGGATGTTCTTTCTTAATGGTTCTCAAAGGGGGTCTGGGAAACTCGGAAGGGCCTGGCTCTTGAGACATAGAGCTGGAACTGCAGCTGCTGCTTCTGCTGCTGCTTCCAGCCACCTGTGCTCTGCCCCTGTCCTCAGCTGGGGATATCTGGGGAGAACCAGGGCTCAGGTACCCAGCTGTGGTCTGAGTGGAGGCAGTGGCATAGGTGGTTGGGCCCATGTTGTTTTTCACATAGACATTTTTGATAGCCACCAGCGTGTGCGCCATAATGCTGAGGCTATTGCTGAGATCTTGTATGCCTTGCTGCAGCAGCCGAAGATTGTGGTTAACATTGTCAAAGCCAGACTGGATCACCTGCATCTGGGTCTGCTGCATCTGCATTAGGTCCTCTTCAGTAATTTCATTTTGGTCTGTCTGGGATCGGCCTTTTGTTTTAGCTTTTCCTTTCCCAGAGGAGCTGCCAGAAGATGACCCCAGAAAAGACAGTTGTTCCTGGCTGGGTGGAACCACAGCCATGTCCTCTGAGCTTTCTTCTGGCTCTACTACCTTCACTACTATTTCTTCTTTTAGGTTCATCTTGTCAAGACTGGATTGGTGGGATGGTCCGGGGTCCTCAGGAAACCCTAGGGACATGGCAGAGGCGGAGGAGAGAGACAGAGAAAGAAGTCGTTAGATATCATTGCTTCCACAATCAATCGTGCTTCTACCAACCCAGCAAACCCTTATGCCAAACCTTGAGCCAGGGTCATTTGTAAGGGGACGCACACTTGCGCTTCCACGGTGCTGGCATAGGGACTGTCTCCAGGCTGGGTAAGGAATTAAATGTGCCCACAGGCCAATTCTGGCACATGTCTCAGGCTGGGATCACTTCACTACCTGCCCCCTGCCCTCCCATGCAGAAGCAAAGCTGGTGGAGCGCTCTGCTGTGACAAGGGTACAGGGCTCATCTCTGCTACTGCTTCCTGAAATAAACCCTCACCCTGCGGCCCACCGCCTGGCCCACACGGGCTCGGGCCCTTCCCGCAGTCGCCTGCTGGTCCGGGGGGTGGGGTTGGGGAGAGCAGCAGCACCTTCAATCCCTCAGGGGCCCGAGCGCCGACCGGCTCCAGTCCCCTCCCGCCGGGGACTCACCGAGGTCCAGCACGGAGGCGCCGGGCAAGTCCAGCGTGTCGATGCCGCCCACGATGGGCACGGCCTCGGCGGCGGCGCCGGACAGCAACGAGGAGAAGGCGCGGGGCGCGGGCGGGTGCTCGGGCGGCTGCGGCGGC